AAAAAATTTTTTTAAAGAAAGGGATGGCATGGCACACTGGATAGGGTGCAGATTTTGGGACAGGAAGACCTGAGTTCAAATCCTGACTCAGAAACTTACTAGCTGTGTGAACTTGGGCAAGTCATTGAACTTCTCTGTTAGGAGATTAGCCTCCTTAGTTGTGAAATGATGGGCTTGCACTTAATGACTTCCAAGGCCCTTTCCAGCTCTACTCAGCCTATGACCAGAGGGTTCCAGATTTTAGTCCTAGTTGTATGTAAAGTCTAGTCTCCTCTCTATACTTGGTTTTCCCTGCTATAATAAGGAGATAATCCAGAACCTGGCAACTGTATATGTCGGGGGGGGGGGGAGGAGTGAGGGAGGGAGGGCAGGGAAGAGGTTCATGGATGTCAGAATCCTAGAGTGAGAAGCCTTAGCAGTCACCTAGTCTGGTTCACCCTCCCTGGAAGCTGGAATCACCTCCACAGCATTTCCAGAGGGTTATCTAGCCTTTTCTGCACCTTGTGTACAGAGATGGAAGGTGATGAGTTCTCAGGTCCTCTGACATTCTATGGGTCTAGAGTTTAAAGACAGCTCATTCCACTATGGGGCAGCTCTAAATGGTCAGAAAGATTTTCCTTATACTTGGGCAGATCTGTGAGCCAATCAATGCAGATCTTCCTTCATGAGGGCATTCATGAACCCCTCTGTGTCTTATCTTACATGGTCCTTGTCCTTTTCCTTCCATAAATCCTCCATAGAGGATTTGCCTGATGCCCTGGAGAGGTGTCTCAATACCACATGGGCATCAGTGCAGTACTTGGCTTGACCATTCTTCACTTTCATGACATGGCCAGTTTCTCTCTTTTTCTGGTCTTGGCTGTCTTTGATGTTGTCATTTAAGTCCCCCGGTCCATACCTGCCATCACTGCTTATAGCTATGATGAGTCTTTCCATTGTCTTCTAGGGTACCTACCAAAGTAGGCCTCTTGTAAATTCACGCTTTTGGGCCTAGGTCAAAGTAGACGGCTCTCTACAAACTGAAGGTGCTGTTATGAATGGAATTTCATTTCCCTAGATTCTCTACTTCTGGAAAGGGGCTTTTATCAGATATAATATTTAATAAAAGGAAGGGATGATAGGATGGACTCAAAATATCTACATATTGTACTGCAGAATACATATTTAGCCTGGACTAGAAATATAGTTTAGAACTGACCTCTGAGGCATCTCATCCAAGTCCCTTAGTTTACAGATGAGGAAACTAAGACCCAGGGAGGTGACATGATTGGCCCAGGGTTCCACATAGCCTGTTGGTAGTGCAGCTGGGACTGGAATCTAGGTCCTCTGATTAGTCAGTCCAATGCTTCAACTGGGTTAGGTTGAGATGGGCAGACTGGAGGCTCTCCCCAGAGACAGGGAAAACTGCTGTGCCTCTGTTCCTAATCCAACTCTTCACTGGATTATCTCCTTTGATTTCCAGCACCCAATTTGGTTTTTGTGGGTCTATTTTAAAAGTCGACCATCCCAGACTATAAAAATAGTCTAAAGGCACTGGAAATAGACTCGTGTTGTGGCTACAGCATTTCAGTACCTCCCCACACCCCCGGCATTTACAGGAAAACTCCTTCCATAAAAACCAGGGACACACCTCTGCTCCCGTCCTGGCTGAGTTTGTGATCTGGAAGTTAATAGCTGCTTAGCTGTACTTCAAGGCTCAGGACTGTCTGCTGTGGGGAGACCTGTAATTTGTTAGGCCTCTGCTGAGCCAGCCTCTCAGATGGTGCAATGCCCCAGAGTCTGGAGTCTGGTTGCTGTTTTTAGGGGCCCAAAACCTCAGGCTGGATTTGAAAAGAGCAAAAAGAAAAAAAAAACACAACAAAAAACTTGCCCCTTTCTCTCCCACTCTGTCTCTTCTGGTACTGACAGTGCCAGAAAGCATTTCATTCTTAGGCTGGCCCCAAGGCCTGGCCAATCACAGGGCTGTGGTTAGGTCGTTCATGGAGATCCACATTTAGAAAATTCAAATGCTTGATGGGGAATTATTTTTTTCTTAAAGACCCCTCACTTCAGAGCAGCCCTTCTACCTGCCTTGGTCAGGGATGGAGCTCATCAACTATGGCAACCATCCACATCACAGAATTCCAGAAGTGAGAGAGAGCTCCGAGGCTACTCGGTCCAATCAATATCGATGTGCTCCATCTCCGGAATGCAGCATGCAGCCTTTGAACTTTTATTCAGCTTGTTCTCTATGTCCGAAATGTTCTCTCTTCTCCTCCATCTTTATCCCTTGAAGTCTCATCCATCTTTTTAATTGTAGCCCATCGCAAAATGCCACCTCATTCTGGACACTTTCCTCAATGCTTCTATTCCTCCCTAAAGGCTACAGTAACTACCTTCCACTTTGGACATCATGGCACTTGGCCTCTCTCCGATGCACTTACCATAAATTATTCTGTGCTATAGTTTTCTGTGTTTGTGTCTTCTCTCACTAGACAATGAGCTCCATGAAGGCAAGCACCAGGTTTTACCTAAACTTTTTCTCTCCTTTAGTGCCTAGCAAAAAATATAGGTATGTAACGAGTGCTTGGCAAATGAATGACTAAAGCCATAAAACAAAAATGCAAGGACAAAAAAGTTTGGGGGTTTAAGGCAATGCATTCAGGCTCAGAGGGTGCTTTCTCAGCAGAAAGGGTGGAAATATTGGAAAGGACACTGGGTTTGGCAACAGAAGACCTGAATCCAATTTTGGCTCTTTGACTTACAGTCTGGCATCATTTTGGACAAGTTACTTAACCTCTCCAGTCCTCAGATAACTCATCTATAAAATGAGGAGAAGGCTGAGCTAGGTTAGGGTTTCTTGGCCTTTTTTTGTGTTCTGGACCCCTTTGGCAGTGAGTCAGGTGAAGCCTATGGATGCCTTAGAATCACGTTTTTAAATGCATGCGATAAAATATATGGGGTTATAAAGAAAACCAATTCAATTGATACTTGAAATTATCAAAATATTTTCAAAAAACCAAGTTCATAGGCCTCAGGCTAAGAACCCTTGGATTAGATGATCTTGCAGGGCCTTCCCAATAGGGTAATAAGATTTAGAACTGGAAGAAATGTCAGACAAGTGGAAGCTGGAGGTAAACTGGGTCTTGGTTGAGGGCCAGGCAGAGTTGATGAAGAGCAGTAAAGGCCAGACACTCATCCACCAGGCATGGGCGGGTGGGCGGTGGAGAAAGAATCCTTTCAGACTTGGATATAATATTCAGAGCCATATACTTAATGCTGCTCTCTCCCTTCTCTGAACTCCTATGATACACACAGTTCAGCCCTTAATGATGCACTGTCTGAGACTCGTCTTTAATCATTTCGTGTATGTGTGAGTTCTGTCTCCCCAACTCGAATGGGAGCCACCAGAGAGCAGGGGCTTTGTGTGTTCCTCTTCTCATATCCCTCTATATAACCTAGCACAGGGCTGAAATACACAGCAGGTTCTGAATAACAATATCATATGTGGCCTTTAAAGAGTTTAAATGCTTCAGCAGACATTATTTTATTGTCTCATTATCCCGGGGACACAGTCCCTTGCACACAGCAGATATTTCATACATATTTGGTGAACTGGATTCTCTCATTTGGTTCTCACAACAGCTCTGGAGAAATCCAAAGGGCACATATACTTACACCTACTTTGCAGATGAATTATAAAGCAGAAATAATTATCTAGTAAGGAAAATGAAGCTCAGTGAGAAGCAGTTATGCACACAAGCTACTGAGGGACCAAGCATTGTCTCCAACCGAGTTCTCTGATTGTAAATCCTGGGTCCTTTCCAGAAAAACAAACAAAACAAAGAACTAAGTAGCTTAAAGGTGTGTGAGAGAACACTGAAGGAAAAGTAAAGGAGATACCATTTTATGCCTCCAGCACAAACACTTTAATCTAGTGGGAGAAAAGAGGGCTGATGTTATCCCTAAGCAGGCTGAGGGTGAAGCAGTCTCTGGTACTACCATTTGATAAAAGCTTTGCAGTAGTAGGGGAATTAAGAGGATTTTCACCTAAGTCACTCAGGAAGCTGGCCACTGGTCAGGTGACCAGGAATGCCCATGTCCTCAGGTAAACGGAAAGGCAATATAGCAGAGTCAAAACAACACTGAATTCAGAGGCCTGGGTTCAAATTCTGGCTCTGCTACTTATTAGTTTTGTGATCCAAGGAGAGTAACATGATTATTATTGTCAACGATAATAGTAAGTGACATTCATATGCTGATTTAAGGCGAAGCATAGAGCACTTTACATATATTATCTCACTTAATCCTCACAACAACCTTGTAAAGTAAGTACTGTTATTACCTACATCTTATAGAAAAGAGAATTAAGGCTCAGAAAGTGAATGACTTATCCCATTATTAACAGCTGTGAATGAACACAGCTGGCATCTGAGAGACAATCTGAACTCTAGAGTCTTTCTGACTCTACTGCTAGCACCCTAGCCACTATGAGAGGCTGTCTCTCACATCTCTCTAGATCTCTCATCTGGAAAATACACAGACTGGTCTTAATGATCTTGAAGGTCCATTCGGGTTCTACATTTCTGATCCTAAGACCCAAAATTTGGAGCTTTCAGTATCCTGCTTTATAAACGACAGTCAGAGGACCTGGGTTCTAATCCTGACTATGCTTTATGAGCTACGATCTCTGATGCTGTGGCTTTGGGGAGATCTTCCCTGGGATCCACCTTCCTCATCTGCAAACAAGGAGGTTGGACAAGATTTTCCCTGAGGCGTGACTCGATGTTGTCCAAGATCCCTCCAGCTCAGACATCCTATGTTCTCTGTTCCGAAGTCTCAGCCAGCTCCGATGATCCGTGTTCTGCATCCTAACGTCCCTTCCAGACCTAACACTTTACATTCTCAGGTCTCCCCCGGGCTAAGGCAGGAGCTCCTTTGAGCTGATGCTCTGAGTCTCAGGGCCCCGGCTTGTGTCCTTCTGACCCGACAGGTCAGGTCTGAGGCCCCTTCCCGCTCACCTTGACCCTCTCCACTCCAGCCTCGATGCGGAGCTGCTCCACCAGTTTCCGAGCCTGGGCTATGTTGTTAGTTGTGGACATTGTCTGCCATCAGCTCTAGGCCCAAACTCTCGAGAAAGCTGTTGGGGAGGAAAATACCAAAAGGACATATTGAATTGAGTTTCAGTTAAGCAGTTTAGCTTTTTCTACACAAAAGCAACTCGATCTGAACTTAACAGAGGCATTCAGCCGGGGCTTGTGGAATACTTCACGCTCTCCAGTATCAGGCACCCGCACAGATTCCTGACCCGTGAACAACTTTGGGCCTTCTTTTTTTTTCCTATGCTGATCTGAATTTTGCTGAGTCCTCCAAGCCCAACTCAAGTTCCATTTCCTCCAGAAAGCCCTCCCCAACTTCTTCAGCTCACGGGGATGCCACCCTGCTTTCAACTCTGAGGGCATTTACTGTTTGTACCTCGTCTAGTCTATCACATGTGACCATGTACTGCTAGCTATCTTTTTATACGTGTGACTCCTAAAACTATCCTTCAAAACAAGACTAATGTCAGTGCTGTCTTTTCCAGGAAGCCTTCCGTGATTTCCCTTCTTTGGCCTAGCATAGCACTTTCTATCTCTCCTATGCACTTGTTCTATTTTGTATTATGGTTATTTTGTGTGCATATTGTGTCCAAATAGAATGTAAGCTCTCTGAGGAGCCACGTATCTTCTCCAGGCACTGCTGACAACGATGCTTCATAATCAATCAATCAACAAACATTTATTAAACATTCATCTATGTGCCAGGTACTGTGCCAAGCACTGGAGATAGAAAAGAAAAAAATGAGACAATTCCTGACCTCAAAGAGTTTACATTCTAATGGGGGAAACAATATGTATGTGTGTGCGTGCGTGTATGTGTATGTGTGTGGGTGGGGAGGGAGAGGTGGGGGGGAATGGTTTGGGTAGACTTGCACTTTAGAAAAGGCATTTTGGCAGCTGGAGGAAGAAGGGTCTTGAGACAGGAAGACCAATTAGGCTATTGTAGTGGTCCAGATAAGAGGAAATGAGGGACTGAACCAGGGAGGTGATTTTGTGAGTGGAGAGGATGAACACAGATATTTACTAAATAATTGCCGAACTGAAGAGAATTAAGATTGTAAACTCCTTATGGATAAGAGAGAAGGTCTCTGACTTTGCATCCAAGGTAGTAGAAAGAGCACTGGTCTTAAAATCAGAAAATCTGTGTTCATATCCCAGATTGGACACTTATGCAGCCTTGAGCAAGTAACTTATATTCCCTGAGCCTTTGTCTGTAAAAAAGATCACATCATTTACATGACTAACTTCCTAAGATTGTTGTGAAGAAATCTTTCTGTAAACATAAAATGCAATAAGAATGGGAACTATTAATCTCTCCCACCATATGGCCTTACATATAGTAGGTGTTCAACAAATGTTTTATGATTAAGAGTTAAATTACTGCAAGAAAGATACCTCGAATACCTTGGAGGAAAACCTCAGCTCATTGGCTCTTCTGTAATGTTAAGCTAACATTCGGTCTGGTCAGGCCTATGGTTTGGGGAGCGGGATGAGAAGGTAACTGGAATGTTTCTCCAGGTCCCAAAGCATGGCCACTACTTCTGTGTTGGAGGGAAGAGAGAAGGGAAAGGTGTGAAAGGGAGTGTGATGAGGAGAGGCGTGCTCCTTGCGGCAGTGCAGAGGAAAGAGCACAGGGTTTAGCATCGGAGGAGCTGGATTTGTATCCAAAGTTCTGACACTTACTCCCTGTGTAATTCTGGCCAAGTTCTTTAATTTCCTTGGGCCTCAGTTTTCTCCTCTGAAAATGCGGGGGATGAACTGAATGATCTCTACAGCCTCCTCCAGTTATAAAAAAAACCCATAGGAACTGAAGGCAGTGGGACATCTGAAACCACTTGGCTCCCCAGCCCTCTCCCATCCCTCAGGCAGGAGTGTCTGTCCTTCCTTCCGTGCTCAGTCACAATGACTGAGCCACTGAATAACTCGTCTAAAGTCTGACATACTCATCATGAGATGAGTCCTAAGTAGACTTCTGGATGATTTTTCTGGGGGAGGTAGGCATGAAAATGATACCCTATGTATAAGATCCAGTGTTGGGCCTGGTTCAGAAATTTGCTTTTCAACAGGAAAGAGTTGGCTGCACGTGTTGTCATCAAAGGTCAAAAAACCTCCAACATTTATTAGCAAGGATTAACACAGGCCTTCTTATACTGTGTACTTACTCACTCTGGGATTACCCCCTAATTAGTTCAACCAGCCAACAAGCATTTATTAAGCACCTCCTATTTGCTAGGCACTGCACTAAATACTGGAGATACAAAGAAAGGCGAAAGACAGTCCTCCACCCTCAAGGAGCTCATAAAGTAATGAGGGAAATAACATGTAAACAACTATGTACAAACAACCTATAGACAGGGTAGATAGGAAGTAATCTCAGAGGGAAGGCACTAGCATTAAGGGGGATGGGAAAGACTTTTTTTAGATTCAGGTCTGATTGAAGGTGGGACTTGAAGCAATCTAACAGGTAGAGATGAGGAGGCAGTGTTCTAAGCATGGCGGACAGCTAATAAAAATGTAAGAAGGCTGAAAAGGCAGGAGGGGGCCAGATCACGAAGGGCTTTGAAAGCTAAATGGAGCTGATAGGGAGCAATGATAGCCGACAGCCTGGCACAATTGGTTTCCTGGTCACAGATCTCTCTTCCAATCCATCTTCCATTCAGCTGCCAAAGTGAGTTTCCTAATGTGCAGGTCCCACTGTGTTATGCCCTACTTCATAAATTCCAGTGACTTCTCCTTCCCTCCAGGAGTCTTCTGTTTGGCATTTAAAGCTCTTCCCAACCTGGCCCCTCCCTCTGCTCCCAGTCTTTTTCATTTGACTCTCCATCACGTACTCTCTGATCCAGTGACACTGTCCTCCCTGCTGTTCCACACACACACTCCCTCCTCTCCCATCTCTGTGCCTTCGTACTGGCTGTCTCCCATGCCTGGAACACTTGTACTGCCTTAGTTTCCCTGGCTTCCTTCCAGATTCAACTTAAACAACACTTTTGGAAGGAGGCTTTTCTTAGTCATCCCAGTAGCCAAAGCTTTCCTCTCTCAGATTACCTCCATCTACTTTCTATGTATCTTAAGTACCTAGTTATTTACATATTTACATATTTTGTCTCCTACTAGAAAAGGAGCTTCTTGAGAGCAGGGACCCTATTTGCCCATCTTTGAATCCCTGGTGCTTAATTAATGCTTGTGGACTAACTGGGGAATTTATGTTCAAAGTTCACCTTGCACTATCAATGGTCTATTTCCTTTTAAGCTCCTGGGAACCACAGGGCTCCACGTAGATTTGCATGTTCTAAGCCACTGGAGCTTGGCCCATCCTTATGGGAAGGTATCACGTTTATCTACTGAGCATCTGTCACAACCATCCTACAACCAGCTCCTTGTTTAAACAAATCGAGGTGAAGCCGACTCAGGCTTCTTCCCCTTACCTCTCACCCAAGGTCTTACATCAAACTTTCCACAGCAGGGACATGTGAGGGCAGGTGGAAGTTGAGCAAAGGTGCTGGGCTCTCCCTGAACTGATGCCAATGGGCATTACTTGAGGCGGAATACACCAGCTTTCATTTCCTGTGGAAAGGATGACCTTCTTGGGTGCAGTCAGTAGAATGCTTCTGGAGGTCGGAACCAGGGGATTTCTGCCTAAAACTCCAAAACAACTGAGGGATGGTTCTTCCCAGACGGTGAGAGGAACTAGTCTCATTCCATGAGCTCTTGAAGGCTTTTATGAGAGACCGAGTCTGGGAGGCCCAGGAATGCCTAATGCTTTGGAGACTGTCTTTAGCACAGACATTTTCATGGGTGGGGCAGGGACACACTCTCAATTAACAATCCAATCTCCTACAACAACACGCATGGCTTTTTTTACAGCACAAAATTGCTCAACACGCTTAATAAGATCCTATTTATTGCTCTAATTAATTTTCACAATATCTCTGGGAGGTGAATATTAGGCCCATTTAGCTGTTGAGAAATGAAAATAGCAGGATAGTAAGTGACTTGGTTCAGGTTAAGGGATCAATGCAGATGTAACTAAGTGTCTCCATAGATAGAATGCTGGGTGTGGATTTAGAAAGACCCGAGTTCATATCTGGCCTTAGGCACTTACTAGCTATGTGACTCTGGACAAGTCACTTAACCTCCATCTGCCTCAGTTTCCTCTACTGTAAAATGAGTATTATAACAACAGCCACCTCTCAGGGAAGATGATAATATTTGTAAAATGCTTAGCACTGGGCCTGACACATAGCGGGTGCTATGTAAATTCTTATAACCTCCCCCAAAGCCAAATTTATCCTTTATCTCCCCAAAGTGTCCCCCAAATCAATATATCATTGAAGAAGAGTTATTTGTGTCCATGTCTTATTTCTCCTTCTACTGTAGTACTTAACAGTTTACAAAGTACTTTTTTTTTCCTTCACAAAAACTCTGAGTTAGTGCAAATATTATCTCCATTTTACAGGTGAGAAAGCTGATCCTCAAAGAGGTGAGCTGACTTTACCAGGGTTACACATCCAGTAAGTGCTGAACTAAGAATAAAAACAGGTCTACTGTTTTTTCACTACATGGTAGCCCAAGTTCCTTGTTCCCTGAGCTGAAGGATTATGTCTTATGCAGTGCTAAGCACTCCATCAATGCTGACTACAAATGCTCCAATACCTTAGGAGGTGGTTTTCATGAATTCCTGTGGCTTTTGGTGACAAACCTCTGTCAGACCTAGGCCCATCATGGGGCCTTCTCAGAGATCTCTCAGCTGCACTGGTAGGACCTGCAAAGGCTTATGAGAATTCAGGGTCCCTTCTAGGCCGTGATGATGCAGCAGGGCAAGACTTTTGTGGAGGGTTTTGTGCACAGTAGACCCTCAATAAATGTATGTGAATTTGATAAACAGAATTGCTCTCTACTATACTTATGTTGCCTTACCCAGGGGCTGCTGTTGACCGCTACCACAGCTTCTTCTGTGCCAAGCGGCATATCTTATTCTCTGTTATCAGTCACTGCACATTCCCCATGGGATCCTGAGATCTGCTAGGCAACATGTCAGTTA